CTGGGCCCGTGAGCCATGGCCGCTGAGCCTGCGTGTCTGGAGCCTGTGCTCCACAGCGGGAGAGGCCACAACAGTGAGAGGCCTGCATACCGCAAGAAAAAAAAAAAGTTCTGCCCCCATAGCGTATGGGGTATGTCATATACAGAACTAGACCAGGGACTGGGAGGGGCCAGGGGTGAGACTCCAGGCAAAGCTTCTGTCCTGCCCAGACCCGGGCTGGGTTGGAAGCTTGTTGGGAGATTCTGGTAAATGTAGCCACATGCTTGAAGTTAAATTTTTCACTCCAAGGCCAGTGTGTTAGTGTCCTGGGGTTGTCATAACAAATAACCACAAAAAGTGTGGGTTAAAACAGCAGACATTTATCCTTTCAGTCTGGGGGCCAGAGGTCCAAAATCAAGGTGTTTCCAGTGTTGGTTCCTTCCAGAAGTTCTGAGAGGGAATCTGTTCCATGCCCCCTCCTGGATCCTGGTGGGGACCAGCAACCGTCGGTGGTCCCTGGCTTGTAGATGCATCTCTCCCGTCTCTGCCTCTGTCTTCACATGGCCACCCCCTCTGCATCTTTATGTTCTCCTGTTACAGAGACACTGGTCTTGGGATTCAGGGCTCACCCGAAATCCAGGAATATCCTTAACTAGTTACATCTGCAAACACCCTTTTTCCAAATAAAGCCACATTCATAGGCACTGGGAATTAGGAGGAGGATGAATCTTTTGGGGGACACAATTCAATCTGCTACAGACAGAGAATAAGAGACAAGTCTGGGCTGAGATTTTTAGCATAGAAAGGGTAAGATCATGATTCTCTCTCATGAGAATCTAGTTTGGGGTGACTCCTAAATGGAAACCTCTGCCTGCACATCTTGCATTTTTCTGCTCGTCCACAAACTTGAAGTCAGATACACTTCCTAGGTGTTATGGACTGAATGATTGTATCCTCCCAAAATTCACATCTAGAAGCCCTAACCCTCAGCATGATAGTATTTGGAGATGGGGCTTTTGGGAGGCGATTAGGGTTACATGAGGTCATGAGGGTGGGGCCCTCAGGATGGGATTAGTGCCTCTGTAAGAATGCACTCCTTCTCTCTCACTGTCTCTCTCTCTGTCTTCTTCCCTCTGTCTCCTCTCTCTGTCTCTCTGTCTCTCTGTCTCTGTCTGTCTGTCTGCTCTCTCTCTCTCTCTCTCTCTCTCTCTCTCTCTCTCCCCTCCCTTCCATGCAAACACAAAGAAGAGGCCATGGAAGCACACAGCCAGTTACCTAGATGGCAGCTACCCATAAGCCAAGAAAAGAGAGCTCAGGATGAAAACTACTTTGCCAACACCTCACTTTTGGACTTCCAGCCCCCAGAACTATGAGAATAAACCTCTGTTATTTAAGGCATCCAGTCTGTGGTGTTTGTTATGACAGCCCAGCAGAACACCACACCAGGTCAAACAAAGCTGCCGCCTTCAGCTCAACAGTAGGACTGACAGCTCCCAGCTCATACAGGGCTACTGTCAGGACTGAGCAGGACAGAAGCTCCATTAAGACTGTTGAGGTCTTGAGGGTGAGGGCCATGCCTGGGCCTTGGAGGGAAGTCTATCAGCTGCAACAAACTCTGTCGACTTGCTTCAACCTTAGAGATCCCAGCTTCCTCCTTTACCAAGAGTCAACAGTGCCCTCTTCCCAGGGCGGTTGTCAAACCCAGGAGAAAAGAGACGAGGTGCAGGGTGTGGCACCTGACGCCCCTTCCTCCCCTCCCCCCCCCCCAAGAGTCGGGCCTCTAAAGACTTGAGATGAATATAAACACATTTGAAGTCCCCTATGTGGGCTTTCCTACCCCCCCCCCCCCCCCCCCCCCCCCCCCCCCCCCCCCCTCCGCTCTCCCGGCTCACTGTCTGGCAACAGCAGCCTTTGATCCACACCCTTTGCCTGTTTGCTATCAGGTCAAATCACACTTCTGCGTGCGATTTTGGTTTCATCCTAAAAGTCATCACTGCCAGGTTACAGGTGGGCATAAAATTCAGGTTTGCCTCCTTTGCTTAACAATCTTAGCTTCTGATATTTTCCTTTTCTACTCTGAAAACGATGGCTGGTGGTTGAATTTAAATCAATGTAAAATCCCAACCGATTTCCAAGGAGCGCAGGGTTGTCACACCGAGCAATGACGTGGCATAAGTGGCTTTTGGATATTCACAGACCGCAGCACCTCGTCTACCCTGGAGAGAGACACAGACCCCCCAGGTGGGCCCCTGGGCTGGTATCCGAAACAAATTTCCATCCCCTGCCCCGTGAACTCCTGGCTCCAACCCACAAAAGAGCCCACATGTATTACCTTCCTTGTTCAGAAACCCACTGACCACATTTTCTACCTGTTCACAGCTAAAGCCAAAAAGTGATTAAAAAGTAAACTTCCGAGATATTCAAACAGACTGGGAGATTTTTCCTGAAATGATGTTGGCAACAAGCTGGGGTGTGGGAGCAGGACCGGGCCCAGAACCCAGAATTGTCCACATTTCTAGAATACGCTGGTGGAGATGATACACCGGCACATTTTTACCAGACCATACTCTGAACCGGGGCCACCTGGCACTGCTTTATATGGTGACACAAAGCAGGGCTCCAGCCTCCTCTGGCCCCAGCACAGACCTCAACACAGGAGCCCCAGCGGTGGGGACACTTGGGGACGCTTCCGGCCCCCTCCCCAGCCTCTGGAAGCTGGCATGCCTTCCACTTGCTGAGCTGAATGGACCCCCAGTGGGCAACGAATGACAAGAGAATTCACTGGGGGTTGTTCTCCAACTTGCATTCTGTTGCGCCCAATTAAAAGGTGTCTCAACTAAATGTTAACACAAGGAAATGTTTTGCTTTTTGACCTTTTAATTTAAACAAACGGCCTATGCTGCTCACTGAAGCCCTCTCTGCAGCGCTCTCTTTTCTGTAAAAGTCACGTGCTGCTTCCTGGTGGAAGGGAACACGACATGGGTGACTTCTCAGGGTCACCTGGGCGCCAGCAATGTTTCATTCAGCAGGGAAGGGAGGTGGGGCGAAATCCAGCACCTTTCGCACCTTTGCTGCCCCAGGCAAGGCCCAGCTGGTCCAAACTGGCTTCTGCCAGCAAATCCGAACACAAGCACTAGATGTCACCACCCCTCCAAAGATGTCACTAAAACGTGCAGGGCAGGGAACTGGGCCAGAATTTCCCCTGCTGCCTTTCAGGATTCCAGGATGAGGGGTCTGCGGGAGCTCTTGGTGCT